ACTGGATCCCGGTAGATAGCCGAATGTGTGCTGTCCGTCTGAACGGATCAGTAAAAAGGAGAAAGAACTGCACTACTCGCCGATGCCTTTTCGTAATCTCCGCCTACGCCCCCACTGACTGCAGTTCAGATGAAACGAAGGATGAGTTCTACCAAAAGCTGTCTAGTTTGGTGCGAAAGGCTAAACGCTCAGACATAGTCGTTCTAGCTGGTGACTTTAATGCTCAAGTAGGGAAATTGTGTCAATCTGAGAAGGATGTCGGTGGCACCTATGGAGTTCCGTGCCAGCGAACCGACAACGGTGACCGTCTCCTACAGTTCTGTTCTGATAATCATTTGTTTCTTGTAAGCACTAACTTCAAACACAAGGAGAGACACTGTTTGACTTGGAGACCCCCTTCATCAAACCAACGCTGGACACAAATAGACCACATAGCAATAAGCTATCGTTGGCGTGGGTCGGTAGGAGATTGTCGCTCCTTCTGGAACACGTGTGTAGATACCGACCACGCACTGGTCCGCGCTCGGGTGTGCTTACGACTGAACGGACGTAGGAAACAGCTGGCGGTAAAACCATCACGTCCCCAGCTCGATCAGGAAACTAAATCCCTATTTGAGGAAGAACTAGCTAAACATATATCTGTGTTCGACAGCTGTGCTCACCCTGAAGAAGCTTGGAAGAATATTCAGGCAGCCATAGATACAGCTGTAAAAGCTGTGAATAAGGTAAACCCAAAGGTGAGTAAAAACCACTGGATCTCCACCGCCTCATCCGAACTGATAGATGCTAGAAGACTTATTCCGGCGAGCTCCGAATTCAATGAGGAGCGAAAGCTGCACAAGAGGAAACTTACGAAAAGTCTCCGCAAGGACCGTGAACAGTGGTGGGTGACAAAAGCCAAAGAGATGGAAAAAGCTTTGACGATAGGCAACACCAGGCAACTCTTTAGACTCATCAGGGAAACGGGTGGGAGAAGACAAATCATAAGTGAAACAATCTCGGAGAAAAATGGCACTATAATTAGCTCCCAGGATAGACGACTGGATCGTTGGAAAGAGCATTATGAGGAGCAGTTTAATTGGCCCACAGCCACGCTCAACCTTCCGAGCATCCAACACCTCCCTGAATGGGATATAGACACAGGTCCTCCTTCCTTAACTGAGGTTACTAAAGCTGTCACCAATCTGAAACTAGGCAAAGCAGCGGGACCTGATGGAATGACTCCAGAGGTATTTAAGTACGGTGGAGACAGTTTACTGTCTGCATTAACTGAGGTACTAGGCAGCGTCTGGGAATCAGAAGAAGTCCCATCGGGTTGGTGTAAGTCACTGATTATCCCCATATACAAGAAGGGAGACAAGTCTTCCTGTGATAATCACAGAGGGATTAGCTTGACTAATATAGTATCTAAAGTCTTAGGCTCAATAATCATGCGTAGACTGAGTGGTGCTCGGGAGGCACAAACACGAGAGAGCCAGGCAGGCTTTAGACCAGGAAGAGGGTGTATTGATCATATCTTCACCCTCCGACAGATTCTAGAACATAGGCATTCCTACCGGCGTCCAACAGTCATTATATTTCTTGACCTAAAGGCAGCATTCGACTCTGTCGATCGGGAAGTTCTCTGGAGATGCTTGGCTGTAAAGGGAATTCCAAGAAAATATATTGCACTGATTAAGGCACTCTACTCGTACTCATACAGCCAGGTGAGGGCTTACGGCGAGCTGTCATCTGAACTGATGACGACCAGTGGTGTCCGTCAAGGATGCCCATTATCCCCTTTTCTATTCAACTTCATCATAGATGTGGTAATGGACTTAACCCTGAGTGACTTCAGCGACTCAGGGATTGACTTGCTACCAGGGAATAATCTCGTTGACTTAGAATATGCAGACGATATAGTCCTCCTAGGCGAAGACGCTGACAAAATGCAGAGTCTTCTAAACACCTTGAGCTGCAATCTACGAATGTTTGGCATGCGATTCGCTCCCGCCAAATGCAAGATGATGTTACAGGACTGGACTACATCGACGCCTAGTTTAAAAATAGGAAGTGAAGTGGTAGAGCACGTTGACCGCTTCACTTATTTGGGAAGTACCATCAGCCAGTGCCAACGGGTTGATCTCTGACGAAATCTCAGCACGAATACGGGGGGCTCGTTTCGCATTTGCCAGTTTACGCCGACTCTGGCGTAGACGAGATGTTCGACTATCGACCAAAGGGCGGGTGTACTGCTCATCAGTCCGCTCCGTCCTCCTTTATGGTTGTGAGACCTGGCCACTGAGAGTGGAAGACATGAAAAGACTAGCTGTCTTTGATCATAGGTGCCTGCGCTCTATTTCCCGTGTAAAGTGGCATAATAAGGTGAGCAATATTGAGGTTAGGCGTCGAGTGCTAGGTAAAAAGGGGAAATCAATCGACGAAGTTGTGAAGTTACAAAGACTGAGTTGGTTAGGACATGTGTTACGTATGCCTAGTCATCCCCTTCGTCGACGAGCAGTGTTAGCGGATATAGGGTCAGGCTGGAAAAAAGCTAGCGGAGGTCAAACAAAAACTTGGCACCAGTCAATGAAATCTACAACAGTTAGTCTAAGCCATGTAGGAAGGTGTAGACTGGCTCTCTGGGGTCCCCGGGACGGTAAAAACCAATGGTTGGAAACAATTGGTGACATGGCTCAAAATCGTTCTCAGTGGCGCAGATGCATCCACTCCTTGTGACTTATGATTTCCAATGAAACTGTTTTGTATTTCTTTATTACTCCTTTGTCTCACACCTCTACTTACTGTCTCTATTATGCTTTTCTTGTATTTTCTTCTCTTGCTTTGTGTGCTACATGGAGTGTGGCGACTTGAACTTCCGCACATATGTGCAAAGTACTATGTCGAAAACAGATAGACATCGAAGTTTTCATGCACTGAATCCAAATTTTGGTTTGACCCCGATAACAGTTCAATCCACAAGTCTCTGAAGTCAGTTAGGGTTAAGTCCATTAGTACACCTATGATGAAATTTGAACAGAAAAAGGGACAGTGAGCATCACTGACGAACACTACTAGTTGTCATCACTTCAGATGATAACTCTCCGTAAGCTCTAACACGGCTGAGTGAATTCGAGTAGAGTGCCTTGATTAGTACAACACATTTTCTAGACACTGCTTTCACGGCAAGACCTTGGTACAGTAGCGTTCGGGTCAGGTCTGAAAATATGACAATTGGTAGACGCCGGTAAATACGCCTGTGTTCCAGAAGCTGTCGAAGGGTGAATATTTGATAACCTTAGACAACCAATCAGATGGTTAACCTTTCAAAGTGCGCGCTCTGTTGCTGATCTCACCCTAACCTAGTTTCCGAATCTTCTCTAGATAACAGTTTGATAGAGATGACTAGAAATCTTATCCCCAAGGGGGTGGGGGGGAGAGAATATAATAGTTCAGAAGCATTGTCATCCATTTGATAGTTATACATCCGGATATAGTATTTGTTATCGCAGAAAGTCTGTCAGAGACGGTAAGTTGTTTATTATGCTAATTCTATAAGACCTGTCTTCTCAAATTCTAAAGCGTCGGTAACTTAACTATTGAGTATATGCGCTACAAGTGGCTCTTAAAATGTCCAGCATTTTGCTAATGCTGCGGAAACGGAAAATACTTTGGCATCAGCAAAGCGATAGTATCAAAACTGTCATGGTCAGAAAAACGACGAATCAAATCGCTTCTGTACTGGGAATCAATGCTGTTGCCCATGTTGATGAAACTGTCCCTATCAAACACTAAAACGATTGAGGTAGACAAAGAGCCAATTAAGTCTAGTTCCTAGAACTTCCTGACACAACTCTGACAAAAGACCTATTAGAAAGGATTTCAAACCAAAGTACCAGTATTTTACTAATAATAATACAACGCTTAGTGTTCCTAGGACTATTCCTATCGACGAGTGGATTATTACCACATTATCATTATAATTCCTTTGGGTTCCTAATAGAACATAAGGCTTCAGCGAAACATATCCATTTCGTCCTGTTTTACGCAGTCCTCTTTAGATGGCTGCAAGATAACCCATAAGATCTCATCTCCTCCTGACACGATCTGCTCCATGTCACCCTCGGACGGTCATTTCGTTGTTTACCATCCTATTTGGGAGATGGCCTGGCGTTTGAGGTCACGTAAGCGGCCTCCTCTGTGTGTGTCCAACCCATTTCCACTTTCTTCGGAATATTTGCGAAGCAATAGCTTCTTTGACTTGTTCGTTCCCAAATTTTACTCTTATCAATTCTTTCTGACTATTTGATCTTCAACATGGAACGAAGACAGCTGTTGATAAAAGTTTTCAGCTAGTTGTTGGGTATGCTTCCCGTGACGCGCAGTGCATCTTTCAAACACATAGAGAAAACTGACTGAATTAATAGTTGTGTTGAAAATCCGAATTTTCTTCTTTATGCTGCAGAGTTCAGAAGATTTCCAAACTGATTTCACAGTGATGAAGGCCTGTTTAACTTTTCCGATTCTACTTTTGATATCCTCATCTGCTCTGTCACCTGTAAGTAGTTGAAACGATGCTTCCCAGATAATAATTGAAGGAAATGATGTCTTTCATATTTTTACCATTGGTAATGATTGGTGCTTATCTTCATCACCTTCATCTTCTCTATATTCACACTTGAATTCTTCTCAGTGTCGCTTATTCCGTCAGTTTGTTAATTTTTGCCTGTCATTAAGTCTTCGAGTTTCTGGACTGAATATTCCCAGTTTGCCCCCATCGGGATATAATCAAGCATAAAGCATACATCATTTCTCAAAGTTCATTGACTAAATAACAGGAACTCATACCACCACTAATAATAAAACAAATCTTGAATCCTATATCTCCCTCTCTTATCCTAAAAAACACAAGTGTTTTGCGCACCAAAACCTAATAATAACCTAAGTTTCACTTTAGCATAATTTTCTCATTCAAAAAAATATAATTAATACATTTTACAACATAAGGCTGAAAAAAAATGAACACATTTAACTAATAACAACATGTTGGCGATTTTTATCAAATACAACCCTCATACATAGATATGCATATGTTTATATATATTTAGCGGAATAACGTCACATTTGAGTTGAGGGATATTTGACCTATGTATATATATATCACGGATATTATGACATGAATTATATAAGAATCAAGCTAGTTTAGGTAGTTTACGACCTTTGACAAACTTCTTTTCCCCTCTAATACTTTTTTTCTCGGAACCACGAACTAATAAATGTAGATAGGGTAGAAAAGAGAAAAATCCCATCTGATCAGCACCTTTAATAGGTCGTGGACCAATAGTTTTCCGTCGTTTAACATACAGATGTCTCATTAGATAGTAGAATCCTAAAAAAAATAATAGAAAAGAAGAGCAACACAGTCGTTATAGGATAAGGAGAAGAAGAGGCCATCAGCAACACAGGTATAAGGTGATATATTTGAGTAAAGAATGCAAGAAACTCATTGATTAGAGGTGAATGCATAAGTGTTTTGCAAGGATGATAATAAATAATTGCCATATTTAACTTCAAATTGATTGCTCATTAAAGAATAACTAAGACTATGTTACTTAACTGTCTGAGTTTCAACACAGAACTTTGCAAAGAAGTGCGCCAGTTTAAATTGCCACACTCCATATACTACACAAAAGTAGGTAAAGGAAAGAGAAAAGCTACATTTAAAGAAACAACCAGTGCTTCTTGTGCAGAAGAAGCAAGTCCAGCCACTACTACTGCCCTGGCCAGCCTTCAGTGGAGACTATAAATTCATGAATTTGTATTATTATTATCTTTCCTAATTTGCCTGTCTGATATTCAGTGTAGTGTTATGTTGATGCTGTTGAACTGTAATCCATTGATATTATTGCTGATTCAATGTTATTTAAACAACATTAAATGTGTTCATATTACTAATTCATTCACTATTATGTGTATATATAACTGTAGAACCTGATGAAGAAGGGGTTATCGAAAAGAGCATTTTTTTGTTCAGTAATCATTCTTTTGAAAATTTTAATGGACGCTTTTAATCAGTTGAAACTATAATAATAACAAAGGTGATGGGGAAAGAACAGTAAGATGGTAAAACATAACAGTTGAGTGTATTTGCGAGATCACAGAGGATGAATGAAACTGCCCCATTGAGAACGATTTTGAGCCATCTCGCCATTTGGACCTTTAAGTGGCTCAAATTCACTGTCAAAGATTTCATTGACTGATTCCAAGTTTTGTCTTGAACACCCCTTAACCCTTTTTCAACCTAATGTAATGTCACTCAACATTGCCCGATGAAGAATACGATAGCTACGCAAAAGCGTAACATATTTCCTAACCATCTCAATCGATCCACCATCACAACTTAACCGAGTGACTTACTCACCTTAGCTAACATTGTACGCCTAACCTCGATATTAATCAGCATATTATAGTAATTAACACACGAGATAAGGCGCAAACATCTGCGATCAAAGACAACTAGTCATATCATATCTCCCAATTTTAATGACTATTTCTCATAGCCATAAAGGAGGAAAGAGCCGTCAATTTAGTTATTCCAGTTAACTGAAATTCTATCGACCAAGTTTAAAGTTGAAACAAGAAGGTAGGAGATTATTCTCCTTCAGTGAACATAATTGATATTAAAATTTGAGACTTAGGTTTTGTATTTTACGCTGGTGATTGCTGGCAAAGTGTATTTGTAGCCTAACAGTAATTAATTCATATATAATTTAGCAAAAATATTCCTTCAGATATCTATAAAACACAAAATAATTGAGCAAAGAATATCCTTCTCGATAATTTCTTCCTCTGGCTCTACAATTGTATGTATGTTTATACACATAGAGTATTCTAGATTAGTAGTCAATAACAATATTAGTGTTTTTTTAAATAATATCGATTTGTAAAATAAAACCAGTGGGATTACAGTTCCTTAAAGATGATAAATTATAATAATAATAAAAATATGATAGCAAATAGAATATCAACTAAAATTAGGGGAATTTCCACAAAAATTGAGGATCATTCAAACCTAGATGGCCAATGTAAGGACAATGTCTGAACTAGCTTCTTTTGGACGCACAAATTAGGCTTGTTTATATGGATACCAACAGCCTCAGCAATATTTAGTAATCGAACTCTTAAGGGAAAATTGAGATTCGTAGGTATGCGGTAAATGACCCTGAAAGTATGTATAACGTCAATCTTCTGTTCTGTATCCACAAGATGAGATAGAATAGCTCTGCGAATAGATTTTGTTTGTCCTTTACTTAACCACGCAGGGTGATGTTCGGAAATTCGACGAGAACCACGCCTAATTGTACATAATTATTTGGACCATAAAGAGTAAGCTATTTGAAGGTAAGAGAAGAATCATCTTACCTATTTGAACCTCGAAAGAGAAAATAGGACGTTCAGTAAAACGACACTTTTTCGGAGGCTTCATTTTCAACAGCTGTGCAATTACAATTTATATACTTAACTCCGCATAATTACAATTATAATTTAATAGTAACAAAATAGATCTAAAAGAGGTAAATAATTTTCAACCTGATATGAAAGTATGCTGATGTGATGAAAGATTATCACTCTTATGTTCAATTTTCGGCTTTGCTACCTACATGCCAATGTGTTCGTTGTCATAATGAACTGAGATTTCCTTAATCTATGTAGAATTTTATTTATTGATAATTTACTAACTGGATGCAATACTGAAGTAAAATGCTGAGAATACCATTCTGTATCACAAGTACTGTTTTGGATAAAGCAAATTATTATTATTATTATTATTCAGTAGCGTACGTCCCTAATTCCATAAGGGATTGAATTAAGGAAGAGAATGATTATTATTAAATAACCCAAGGATTTGAACTACCGTAATACCACTATAAAAAACACTACCACCATCCATGGATCATCAAAATAGCCTTCCCTTACATCCAATTTTGACATCACATGCCAGACTGACCCTCGAGTAGAACCCGAATGAGAAATGACGACTTGGGTGGCTTCTGAGGATTACTTGAGGGAGATCATGTGAGAAGATGAGAGCTTTATGGTCAACCGTGGAGCCACTTGGCGAGGACTGTAGAGAACAGGATAAGGTGTGGATGTTTAGTTGAAGACTTATGTTCCACTCGGAACCCAAGGGAATAATAATAAATCTCATTTAGTGAATGCTTTATAAAGGATCCAGCCTCTGAATACACCTCCCGAATTTTAACTACACTAAATCGGTTGTGAGGAGAATTACTCATCAACAGCACTGGATTATCAACCAGTAGATCTCAGTTTCAAATTCCACTTCAATTACCTCAGTCTGTTCAACCTCGTGGCATTATCAGCCTTCACACAATAAATGTGTGGTTCATTTCATTTCGGGTAACTGAATCCGAACAAATATCGATAGTACTAAAGAGATGGTGGTAACATTAGTGTATGTAAAGTTGTAATGGATGAGATATTGAATGCACACAGACCCAAGGACTGTATTGTGACTCAGTTAACTAGGAACCTGAAACCCCTGTACTTGATACTTGCATTCTCCGTCCTGGATGAATTTAATGCAGAACAGAAAAAAAAATAGAGACAAAACAGCTGTTCCGAACTTCGCCTTCTACAGTGATTTACTAGCAGATCCTGACAAGCCTACCATATCTATATATGAAAAAGATTTAATCAAACACAAACCCCAATAAGAAGAAGAGGAAGAATTGTAAAAAGGAATTGCAAAATCAACTCACCGAATGACATAGCTAATAAATAAACTTGCAGAAATATTGGGAAGTCAAAGCTGATATTTGCTATATTTGGTAGTGCCAAAGAGAATCTTTGCGATTCTTTTAACAGTGGAATTGACCGAATTATTAATTTACCTGATAAATAAAGCATTAATAATGACAAATATACCACATGAGAATAAATAAAAATGAAAGTAGCAAAGAGTTTTCCAACTAGGCTTCATGCTAGTTGGCAGTCGTCGGCAAGGCGTATCTGTAACCTTGAAGGAACTCACGTCCCTTCTAAGGTTCGAACTTGGGTCAACCAGTGCTGCAGTTAGAGATGTCTCTCCTTCAAGGTCAAGGATGGGACTTGCTGACGAGTGTCAACAAGCATGAAATCTAGATCCATGGCTTCCTACGACTGCTTCTAACCATCTAACAATAACAATTCAGAGCCACCTAGAATGGTGGCCACATTGCAAAGATGACAGGTAGAATTCAGCCTGCACCAACCAAAGGATTAGACGCATGACATTAGTTACTTACTAACCGCTGTTCAATCAAAGCAAACTGGATCTTTGATTAAAAACCACCCTGCATATCGTCTCTATCATTAGCTGTGTAAATGAATAAGATTCAAACAGAAATTCTATATTATATATATATATATATATATATATATATATATACTTCCACTGGTCGAAAAATACTCGAACACACCTGAGAAATGAAACTTTTTTTTCATTTATTTTCAAATCACAAACTTTTCAAAATTATGGACACTAAGAGATCCGTCATACAAAATCTCATAGATCGTGAGAAGGCTGGAATACTGCCCAGGAGGGCGCCCAAACCCTTAAGCCTTTGACTTGAAGTCTGGTCTATAAAACATTGAAACAGTATCCTCATAATTTCCAGTGACCACAACGAGTTCATACGTCATTCAATTCCTACGGGTTCTGGAGCCTATATACACCATATATTTGGAATCAGGTTTTTCAGCTCCCTTAGGTAGACTAGTATGTCACCAATATGTCCGTTATGTAAGTGCCAGACTTTAGGATTCTTCCTTTCACTTTTGTGAGGAACAACCTCGACGACGTGAAGGCAGTGAATAGGACTTACTTGGCAGAGGTTATGGACGCATGTGGTCACATGAGACCGCTTCATGAGAAAGAGACCGAAGTCTACCCAGCCTCGGCTGGAGTAGGTCATTTATGCAGCGGGGGAAATTTTAAAAAAAAACTCAATGATATTCATTCAAATTATAATATCGGGAGCATATTCCTAAATGGCTCCAGAAGCAAACAGAATCCCCAGAACCCATTAATGGTGAGAACAGGAGACCTAGCTCCTCTATTGCGAAACACATTATACAAACAGGACATAAAATTGATGTTTACATATCTTTTAAACCTATCTATAAAACGTGTTTGGGGAGTATCCTAAAGTTTGTGGGATCCCTGGCAATTAGGAAGTTTAAATCCACCTTCATGCATTCGAAAACAATGCACCATCACACTAAACCTTACTTGGTAAACTTTGATTCGATACCAGGGTTGATATAGTATTACCTCACTTATTTAGTTTGGTGATCTTTATTATTATTTTGACCTTTAATATTTCCTTTTAACTTGACCTAAGTGTATTTTCTCACCTCTTACCTCTTTATTAATTTCATATATATTCCTATGACAAGTCCGTGTGTGATGAGATTATTCGAAATGTGTTGCGCAAATACATTACACTATTCAGACAAATTAAATTTTCTTATTGCTTTGTTTACATTCATAAAGAGAACTAATTGTTTTAATTTAGAATATTAAGAGATAGCTTTTTAAATGTAAATGTTTTCTGTAAGCTTTTTTAATCCCTGAGCTCCAAGTGGAAGGTTTGAAAGTTTAGTAGCGAATGCACTGTTTTTACGGGATGAAACTGCTAACCGCGCGTTTAGCCTTCTCTCTTTTCCTAGCGTAGTCAAGGTTCAGGAATGTGTTGAATGCAGAGCTCAGCGTGGCATGCAAGCATTCTATCATTCAACCATAAATGGATTCTAGGCCAATAAATATGCTTCTACCACTTTATTATTTTATTCCTTTGCGTTCCGAGAGGAACATAGGGCTTCAGTCTTCAACTTTGAAGTTCCAATAGAAGTGGTTTCATGTTTACGAGGTGGGGTTGATAGCCTCACGCCTAAACTTCCCTCTTTACCAAACTGGTTACCACCGGATTAGCAAGGTTTAAGAGTGCACTGGCATGGGGTTGAACTCCGGATCACATGAGCGAATGGCGAGTATCCTATCGTTGAACCACTGACGCATACCACTTAATACTATTAAAGCGAAAAGATATAACATAAAGGGAATAAAACAATTAAGTAATCTAAGAAAAAAACTAACGCGATTAAAAACAAAACATACTTGCATAAAACTATATACTACTACTGACTGGTTGAGATGAGTAGTTTAATACCACTCATATCAGTCAGCAGTGTTCGATAGCCAAATCAAGGTTACTACAGTACAGGACGCCCTTTTCCCACGTTTAGGGCCGAACTCATCAGCGGTGGAAGTGGTTTGATTCACTTCCAAGAGCCGAATCAGTTCAAACTATCGAATTTCAAGCTAACTAACTACTCAGGTGACGAATTTGTGACACCCTAAATCAAATTCAGAATTCGCAAATTAGTTAACCATTTGCAATGTACACTCGGTTCGAGGGATGAAATTTTTATTACAGTTTCATTCAGAAACCCAACAAATACCATTTAATAATCTGTTCGAAAAAAAAGTGAACTCCTAACTCTTACCTTCACATATAAATCCAATTGGATATAAAATTATCCATAGTGTATGACGTAAATAAGTGATGAGTCCATTTTGAAAACTTAATAATGAAAGTATATAATATGGATACCTGTAAGCGATGCAAAACAAATAAATGTTTCAGAAACCGCTATACAGATAATCACGTAATCTTTAAAACAAACATATTTAAAAGAAGTGTTTCACAGTAAGATCACCACTACAGTTTTAAAACAACAAGGAATCAGAGTTTGACGTCAATAGGTACATAGTGACTAGCAGTGGAATTTAGGATGCACATTTCGTCCCATTTGGGACTCGTTACTGGATGTATCTGCATTTCCAAGTGATTGATGGTGTCCTCACCGTGGTTCGAACCCAGTGCCTGTAGTTTCAAATGCCAAAGCGTTATCCAATAGAGCGCTTGGGTCACAATAGTTACCTCTTGTACAACGGGTCTTAGTAATTATTTAATTCAATCGACGGGACAATCCAAATTGAATTAAAATAAGAAATCAGAGTCACTACGTTTATTTTTCAGCTGTGAAATGTCCTCTTTTCCACATGTGTGTAGTGTCGAAAGCTTCACTTAAAAAGACACTACAAAAAGACAATTGTTAGATTTTCGTCAAAAACTAACATTAGTCAGAGATACCATTGAAAACCTGGAGCACTGTTTCATCCTGTTCTGAGACTCCTCATGGATGTGCACCCACGGCTTTGCCAGGGAGCGAACCTGGGACCTTCAGATTGTGAGACCAAGCTCGTTGACGTTCATTCACCCACTTGGGCCTGTTAGTTTAAATTTGTTATTTCGTGATATAGCGCTGCCCTCACCAATGCCATCGATGAATATCCCATTTCATTTTAATATTAAGGACCCCATCGGTGATCTTCAAAATGTCTAAATGGGAATCTATTAAGAGTTATCCACACAACTCTGAAAACAATAAACTAACTTATTAGAGTTATCTTACCTAATAACTTCAGAAAGACTCCATGCTAAGAATAACCAATAAGTTGTAGATTCTGAATGAAATTGAGAATGCGGTAGAACGATGAAAAATAAGACTAGAGAACGACCAAACACCTATAAACAATAACAGTAATTAAAAAGAAATAATTTACAGCACAAAATATAAAAAATTATCTTTCACGTTTACTGTTATAATTCATAAAATGATAAAGATTCACTTCTGTAATAAGCTGAAGATACTGTGGTGAGAGCTGTTTGCAAGCCAAAATTGTAGACAACAATTTACGTCTATGTTTACGTCCCGAATCAAGGTCATGATGAAAAAAACAGTAACAAAGCTTAACGTCGAAGAACTCACCAACCAATCACAGCTGACTTAACGTGAACAAATGCGATTAGCAGATACATAGCTTAACATTCTAAGAAACGGTCACAAGTAGTACAGAATAACCGTCAGTAAAAAAACGATCAATCAGAAGACGTTGCTTCTCCATTGGCAATAATGTACATAAAAATCTATAAATACTCTTGATTTTCTCAATAAACGATCTGTTGCCTGGCCCTTGTCTTCTGTAGTTACAATATAACTCAGTAAATGAAAAAACTCACTAAGTGTATACACTCTAGAAGTATGGCTACCTTAACTGATGCACTTATGGACAAACTTCCACCTTGACTTGTAAGTTGCAATCAGCTAAATACGTGAAGATATGTGTAAATTTATTCGAATCAGGTAAATATAAAGTGAAAATATAAAAATGCTCATTGTGGAGTGATGCAAAATTGATAGGAAATAGTCAAAATGAAATGCACATCCCAAGTCAACGTCTACAGACTTTACATTGTGAACATGAAATAACCGCAATGCACAGTTTGTTTAACCTAGGACCAGTTGCTAACCAATCAGAACAATTTATTTTCCTCTGACCCAGCAGAACTTTAATATGGCTAATGTAGAAATATGATGTTGTATTCCTTAACAAAGGTCCGTTACGCGGTTTCTTATCTCCTTCCTTTCTTGATATCTCTGGTTTCAACGTAGAACTCTGCACAAAAATGTGCAGCAATTCGAGTTGCCACACGCTACGTAGCACACAAAGCAAAAGAAGAGAGTGAGGAGAGATTGGTTTGACTAGCAGTGGCTCTTTTCCAACCTGATCCATCCTATGTCAGCTAACATTTCACGTCGAGGAAGGCAATAACTAGGCATACGCGACACATGTCCTAAGCATCTCAATCGATGTAATTTCACAGTCGCCGATCGGTTTCCCCTCCCACCTACCAATTGACGCCTAACATCAATATTACACACCTGTTGTACCACCTAAAATGGGAGATAGGACACAGACACCTATAGTCAAAGACGGCTAGCCTTTTCATATATTTCACTTTCAGTGGTCTTGTCTAGCTCACAGCCATAATGGAGAAAGGTATGGACTGCTGAGCAGTACAGACGCCCTCTGTTCGACAGCCAGCTGGATAGCACGTCTACGGCAGAGATGGAATAAGTTGGTATATACCAAAGGAGCCCTCTGTATCAGCCCCCGTTGGGGCTGACGCAACTCCCCAAATAAGTGAAATGGTCAACACGCTTCACCAACCATTTCACTCCCTATTTCTAAGCTAGGAGTCAATGTAGTCCAGTGCTGTTGCATCATCTTACATTTGGCAGGAGCGAATCGCATGCCAAACATCCGCAGACTGCAGCTCAAGAAGTTCAGAAAACTCTGCATTTTGTCAGCGTCTTCACCTAGAAGGACTATATCATCCGTATATTCTAAGTCAACGAGACTATTATTCCCTGGTAACAAGTCAATCCCTGAGTCGCTGAATTCAGCAGTTGGGGTTGATTCCATTAGTACATCTATGATGAAATTAAAGGGAAATGCGCGTGGTGGCCTTCTCCTGTTATATGATAAACTGGGTGAAGAAATGTTAACTTTCCAATTAGATTCTTATCAATGGCTCTACTCTGTGGTTTTAATCTGATATGTATTTTCCCAATCCAGTAGTGGTAAGTTTCTTAACAATTGCTAACTATTATCAACTTGTCAAAGGGATAATAATTTATCAAGGATATAAATGCAAATTGTCGAAGTATTTGTTGTAATTAAAATATTGTGACTGCATTGTAATGCATAATTCTATATACTGAAAAATATGAAGAATAAATAAATGAGCCATTGACGAGGATTCGAACACTCAACCCAATAGTTGAAAGTCAAATAGCTAAGCTCAATGAGACAGCTCTCCACCATTATTCCACACATAGAGAATAATGTTAAGTAGAGACAATGATCAGTATTTGAGACGTTTTTCTCAACAACAAAAAAAAAGAAAAAGAGAGAACTTACTTGAAAAAATGAAGCTACAATATTTCCACCTTGAATCCAACCTAATAAAGCATGCACAGGTTCTAATGTAGCTAAAATTTGTACTAAAAACAGTCGATCAATAACCCAGTCATAGAATGCTATTTTCTCCACTTCTTTATATTGTATTAATCCAAAGAGTAAAGTTCCACAAGTGTAAAGGTACCAGCAAATTGAATAATGTTAAACATGAATAAATATATTGTCAATGGATTCTTGATCACTAGAAGAGAAGAAATAAGAAAGATTAATTACCAACAGTGAGTTCAATATGTCTAACATATTTGAACATTTTTCTCTCATAGCTTAGCATTTTCAGGAGTAGTGTTCTTTTTATGAGGGGGGTAGGTGGGCGTGAGTGGTTGTTAGCCTCATATGTTCAACATTCCCCTCTTTCCCAAGCTTACTACTTACTGGTTAGTAAACTAGGCGAGGTTGAGGAGTTTATCAACCGGAGATCGAACCCCAGACAATATGAGGCGTGGTTGGCCGCCAAGCATTCTACTACTACACCACTGACGCAAATATTTAAACATAATCGCCTCTATATGCAATTATGGGTGGTATTAAGTAACCTCGTGTTCAATTTTATGTACACCAAAGTGGCTAGTGTTACTGGCAAGTTTACGGTGTCCATAGATGCAAGTGACTGCGGAATAGATGCAGTACTAAGACAGAGTGAAGGAGTTGTCAAGTATGCCAAAAGTATTCAACGATCGAGAATGTTTAGCTATAGTGTGGGCGTCAGATAAATGGAGATCTTATCTACTCGGCTATCTGTTGGTTCACATAGAAACTGATCATAAGCCACTATACAGTGGTTGAAGACAATGAGAGTTCCACGTGGGTAATTGTCGCTGTGGATGTCACACCTACACAAGTACGACTTCACGATCTCGTACTTCCCAGGGAAAGGGAATTTATTGGATGAATTTTTATCCACACAGGAAGACGAAGCTGATTAACCTTAGAATGCATATATAGTACATGCATTAGAACAGGATCCGTCAAGACTTGCCCGCAGTCAAAAGTTGGACCGAACCATGAATATACTGATACAGGTGACCACTAACGGAATGGAATTAAGTCAACCTACGGTAAGTGGGAAGATAACTATGCTACTCAGGCAGAAGGATCGACTAAGATTGAACGCTCATGGAGCTTTGACTTGGTGAGAGAACGATGGAAGCTGGTTGGCGGTAATATCAACGAGCAAGAACGCTGTATCCATCATGTCGAATGCTAAGATGTTATCCACTAAACTATTAAAATCACGAAAACTCAACTCTTTGCTAATAATAACAATAACAGTTTTATTTCGAAAAAAGGAATTATGCTTCAATCACACAAAAAGACTGCTAAAACTCACTATTTAAACACCCATTAGGCGTCAGTGGTTCAAGGGTAGAATACTCATCAACCACGCCTCCCTTGATCCAGGGTTCGACTCCCAGCCAAAGTACTCCTACACTTCACCTGGCTAGTAGTAATGCCAATAAAAGAGGGAAGACTAGGTGTGAGGCTGTCAACCCCGCCTCTTAAAAATAAAACCACTGCTACTGGAACTTCAAAGCTTAAGCTTGAAGCCCTACTTTCCGATCAGGAAGCAAAGGAATTAAATAATAATAATAATAAAGAATAAAACATCCAATAGCAACAGACTAACTGCAAACCACTACACCAATTATGGTGACAGATTTTATGATTAAAACTGGGTGCAAAGCAATTACCGAATTATATACAATGCATAACTTACAATTTAAAAATGCTTCCCACTCCTCTTCATCTTGCAGCATCATCTGCTCTAAATTGTGTTTATCCTAAGATAAAGAATAACAGACAAAAGGTTAGATCGTAATGCTTTAGAAAATTACTGAAATAGACAACCCTATACATATTAAAAAGTGATACTGCAAAAGTGAAGGAGAAAGATAAGGAACAAATACATCTATGACCTACAGGTTATGTCAACTTGGCATCAAACAGTGAGTTTTTTTACGTTTAGAAGAAACTACCTATGTAGAAATCAAAGAATTCATGAACTGATGGTATGGTAATTTCCTTTAACCAGACCTAGCTTTATTCTAGTCTTTTATCTCCGAAAATAGTGAATGAGAAACCTCCGCTTCTTACTGGTCAACAGTCTCACCGGGTTTTCAACTATTTCAGCCTTTTATGCTTTTCATATAGTTTCTAAGTGGTCGGGTGCTAATTAATTCAGGTTCTACCAAATTAGGAAGACCGTTGTTAATCCCTCACAGTACTTTAACGAACAATCATATAGAAATGACCAGTCGAATACTATGCAAACAATGAGGACACACAGAAGACAGACTGTAAAGGCAAGATTTAACCTTCTACAAAAAAGACAAATTGCCAGAAATTACAGCCATTCACATGGTCATTTTATATGACATATGAATTATAAATTTAATTTATTAATGGTCTATAAGCTCGCCATGTAACTGGAAGTTTTTTGGTTTAAACCGCAATGGTTGCGTACTGTGAAGTATCCCAAACTAGGATGAAACAGCTGTCAAATAATCCTCGGTTTTCTAGTGCTTATCTAACTTATGTTAGCTGGTGAACAAACCTGTCAGCGTTTTGATTGGTTGGCGACGAACCAATACCAAGGGAAATTAAATAACTACTATCTTTGCTTACCGAATTACCATCAGTGGTAGTCTACGAAGACAGAAAGATAAACTATCTAAGTGACTAGTTGGTTTACTTTTTTTTAACTTAAAATAGTGTTTAAGATCCTGATTCTTCAATTCCATATTTCATTATGGCAGAGTGAATTCACAGTACAATGCAAACTGCTCTTATTTATATTTTTATTATTCCTTTACATTCCAATGGAATGCAGGGCTTCAAGCTACAGCTTTAAAGTTTCTACGGATGGGGTTGCTAGCCGCCTCATGCCCAACCTTCCCTCTTTACCAGTTTTAATACTGGCTTAGCACAGTAAAGGATTGCGCCGGTAGGGGATCGAACTCCGCACCGCATGAGTGCTTGGTGAGCATTCCACCAATGTGTCACCGACGCATAAACTGCTCTGAATGTTTATTTTATATGAATATATATTCAACAAGGAAGTGAAACCATTGCGAAGTTCATGACAGATACGTATATATATATATATATATATATATATATATAATTGATAAGATAAAGATATATTTGTTTCTAAGTTACTTCAAAAATGGTCTTCAAATCCAAAGCCGGAAATGGCATATGGGACGGCCAACCGACTGCATTCTAGTCAAAATTATTCTTAAAATTCAGAACTGAATAGTAATCGACAAGACTAATTGAGCAGCCATCGGCATTTTGCTCCCTATAGTATTGTTTCACTGAATCGTGTCATTACTTATATACATGAAATAAACCAGTTCGCTACTTACTTTATGGTTGTGAGCAAGACAGGACCACTGAAAGTGAAATATTTGAAAAGGCTAGCCGTCTTTGACTATAGGTGTCTGTGTCCTATCTCCCGTTTTAGGTGGTATAATAGGGTGAGTAATATTGAGGTCAAGCCTTGATCGATTGTTAGGTAAGGATGGAACACCGGTCGACGAGGTTGTGTAATTACATCGATTGAGATTGTTAAGACATGTGTCGCGCCTTCCTTGACGTGAAACGTTAGCTAACATAGGATGGATAAGGTTGGAAAAGAACCACTGGTTGTCAAACTAAAACTTGGATTCAGTCCATGAAATCTTTGACAGTGGATTTGATCTACGTAGGAAGGTGTAGGCTTCTAGGCTGGGTCCTCAGGATTTTAAGAACCAATAGCTGCAGACGATTGGTGAAATGACTCAAAATCCTTCTCAATAGCTGGCGCAGGTGCATTCACTCTTTTTGATTTCCCGTATCTATCAAACCTTAATGTTTCCCAATGTTACCATGCTTTTTCCCTCACATTTCTGCTAATTACAAGACTTTTGAATCCCTCCTCCCTTATTTTCTGCTTATGTGTGCCACATAGAATGTAGCAATTTGAAGTGCTGCACTCCTGAGCATGGTTCTATGTTGAGACTCAGCAGTCAGCACCAACACAAGACATAAAACCAAGAAAAACGAATAAATATCTATCCAGCAAACGTGTGTAAATTACTAGATACCAAAGGCTTTTTTATACCAGAACGTAAGGCTATCAATATTTATTTTATTTTACGACAGAAACGTCTTATATTACGACTTGTAATAGCGATCCATTGTGTACGGCAAGCTTGTAGAAAATGTTAAATGAAATTCCCATTTACATGTTCTAGAATTCCAGTGAGTGTTAGCAGTTTTAAAACGTGTCAAACTTTGAAGAAAAAAATAATATTAATGTGTTGAATACAATAAACAGTCAGAGAATAATGTTAAACGAATTAGTCTACAGATAGTACATGTAGGCAAACTTACTCTTTCCTCTTTTGATGGATGTACTACATTCAGTTTGATACCATCTTCATCATCTTCCAAATCAGATTCTTGGAATTGATAACGATCAAAGTCTGGACGAACCCAAGGTAAACGTTGACTACTGTATGTCAACCTTGGCCATGAATCTTTCAGCTCCTTTTTCAGTTTGATATTCACTGACATACTGGTTACAACATACCGACTGTCCTAAAAAGCAGAATTCCGAGTCCTCATAAAATAAAAAGCCACACATCCACACACCGTCATTACCTAACAGAGTGTACTATAAAAGATGAGACGTTTCGTCATAAATACATTTTAGATACATTTTATTATTTTCAACCAGTTAAGACTTTGGTGAGTCATTTTCTTTAAAGGCATACCTACTAAAGGTAACTTTAATTCTGTTTTACGACGTTACAGTATAAAAAAGATGACATTTTTCATCTTCTTGACTATTTGACCTATAAACACACCCCACCCACTACCTCTGACAAAATACTCAAGATGATTATTAAAGATCAACATAGCGAAAAAATTCATTCAGACATCTATAAAAAACACAAAATAATTGAGCGAAGAATATTCTTCTCGATAATTTCTTCTTCTGGCTCTACAATTTTATATATGTGTATATACATGGAATATTCTAGAATAGTAGTCAATTATATTATATTTTTATTATTATTATAATTTATGCATCTTAAGGAACTGTAATTCCATCGAGATCTTACTTTACAAATCGATATTATTTAAAAAACACTAATATTATTATTGACTACTATTCTAGAATATTCCATGTATATACACATATATAAAATTGTAGAGCCAGAAGAAGAAATTATCAAGAAGGATAATTTTCACTCAATTAAAGGTCAGTCTAATTTCCATGAGCACTCTTTTTCGTCGAATTATTAACACCATATCCATATATTATATAACGTAGTCGAAACAACGATAGAGACTGTCATGTTTCTCGAAAAGTTGTTTCTTTCAATCCCGCTAACCTTTGGTATTATCAGTCAAACTGTAATAGATATGTCTTATTACATTTCTGATTCACACTAAACTTACACAGAAATACATAAAAATAAATTATTCCTACATTAGCATTGTTCAACCCAAAGAAATAAAAGTGATCTAACTGACTTGTATAAGATAACAGTAATCGTTTGTCAAAGAAGAAACACCTGAGGGAAAAAAGCAGAAGTGGAATGAAAGTAGTTCAGTCAACTTTTCATAAGAATAAAACACCTTCTACTAGTCATTTCTTCTTCGATTTCCGTTTTTTTTTTCATGTTAAGATATTATGTGGTGAATTGAACTAATGCATTAATATATCAATTTCTGAGTTGATGAGGATAGCTGTTAAAGCAATTGCCCTGAACCTCTATTACAATACGACAGGTATGCCAGTGTTATATCTTATAACTTGTAGTTGCTGTGAAATCTAGTGATACTGGATTTGTGGGGTTTATCCTGCTGCTACTTCAATAAAACAACAATATACACTGCCAAAATGTAACTGGGACTGCAACACACTCAACAACAATATATTACTGATCACTGGACTACTACTCCCACACTGAGTTGACGCCGAAAGCTGACTGAGAAGGACAAGATAATATCATTGGAAAATTACAGATATTTCTTTAGTTGTTTTAAACAACCAATGAATTACTGGCTTATAATATAGGAAGACATGTTTTCATTGGTTAGCGCGTACGAGAAAAATCCACTGACCTGATCTTTAATCTACACGTTAATCTCACGTAAGAAAAACTGACTCATAATACACCACCTCCTGACCTAACAGTAGTATGTCAAAAAAAACTAAATACGCCCCCGCATCCCACCCAAAATCACCCTGCAATAACAAACCAGTCAAAGAGTAAAACTATCACTCAACAGTGTTTTATCAGAAGAGGAGAATATGGACAATGGTGTAACCTATAAAAAGAACTTACTTCAGGAATTATTGGAAGATAATAGACCATGTTAAATTCATACTTCTTAACACCATCAGCCACAAGACTTGATGCTGAAAAGCTGAATTCTTCTTCTTTAATAACAATGGAATCAACCTAAACTCCATTGTAAATTGAAGATTAGACAGACGTACATTTGCATTAGCTACTTTAATTGAAAGAAATACATATTCTTCTGATTGACCCCAGTGAACAAATGGATGAATACATTGTGTAGAGTCGATCATCTACAAGTAGCAAAATTATCATTGTGAGATCTATAAAAATAATAACCCAAATAAAAGTAAAATTCGCCACCTGATTATTCGTCATATCTATATTTTTCAACCTAGACCATATTTACATAATAACGCACTTATTCGTAACTGCACAAGAATACTGTGTCGTTTATGCATCACCCTACCTACGTATAGTAACTTAGACTCTATTACTGTGTGCAACAGTTTTGATAAAACTAATACGGGCAGGTATCATTAGAAAGTAGTTGTGAAACACTTGACTGTATCAGTAAAGTACAAACTTTACACACGAGGTGTTAACAGTAAGTAGAACTGAAACAACTGCGGTTACAACTATTAACAAAACTAGATAAAATAAAGGAATAAGGACATGAGATGTGGCAAATTAACTTTACCACATGACTATTAACCTATGAGACTCGGGTTAGAGTCCTATTTCGGCCAGGATGCCTGGGGAGTGACACCAGTCCACGCACAATGATAAATGCAACTCAGAGCATAGAACATTAAGAATCAGTTACTCGTAACTAATTTTAAACAACAGAAAACCACCAATTTTTCCAACAATCTAACCTTGCTAAAGAGACATGATATAGAACTTGACATGATTCAGAGAATCCATAGACAATAAGAGACAACGATCTCTTTCTCACATTAGATGGTATAGTAAGGTAAGTAATGTTGATGTTAGGCGTAGTGTTGGGCAAAGAGGGAAAATCAATCGACGGGGCTATAAAGTTACATAGATTGAGATGGCTAGGCCACGTGCTGCGTATGCCTAACCATCGCCTCCCCGGACGGGCGTTACTAGCTGATATAGGTGCAGGTTGGAAAAGAGTAAGTGGTGGCCAAACAAAAACATGGCATCAATCCATGAAATCCTTGACAGTTAAACTGAGTCAGTCAGTTGGGGAGATGCAGACTTCCGGGTTGGGGCCCTCGGGACTCTAGGAATCAATGGCTGGAGACAATAGGTGACATGGCTCAAAATCGTTGTCAATGGCCAGCGCAGATGTTTTCAGTCTCTGTAATCTTTCATATTCCTTTTTACTACATTACCCATTGTGTTTCGCTCTTATGCCTGTCAAACCATTGATTCTCTTTACTCATCTTCTTGTCTACCTTTGTGTGCCATTTGGAACGTGGCAACTCGAACTGCTGCACTTCGGTGCCAAGTTCTATGTTGAATCCAGACAGACAGATAGACAATAAGAACACTCCCACCTGATCATTTTTATTTATTGATATCTTAAAACTACTCAGGCTAATGCCACGCGGTGTACACCTTTTAACTTCATAAGCTGATCAATCTTACGTGTGAAAATCTCTGAATAACATCAAAGGTTCTAGGCTTAACTGTTAAGCCAGTATATATATATATATATATATATATATATATATATATATAAAATAATAATAACCACTTTATTCCACAACAATAACAATTTACAGTATGGAATTTTCAGCGTTTCTTATATAAAGGAAAGGCAGGATACTTTAAAATGCACATTACCACCACTGTCCTATTACAATCAGCATCAGAATTTTACCGAAAGTTAGCGCGGCTACAACGAAACCAACCATAATGGACAATAGCTCCTTTAGTTTACCACTGATCGATATTCCCGGGCAAGGTGAGGTAGCAAATTGAACCGGATCACAAGAATATACAAGTCCAATTATCACGTCAAGATGCAAGTGATTAGCTAATCTACAAAATCTTTAATTGGCAGTTTGCTTTGCCCTGGATCCATGAATGAAGTCCAGAGGTCAAAAATCTTACGCAGAATTCCCTAGAGACTGTTTAGGCTATTACAAATGTGTCCATACCTTATTTTCCTTAAAACTAAGGGCACTTTACTAAGAAATGTTCACTTGATTAATTATCTCCTGTTTTATTATCATTATCATGGTAATTATTGTCATTACTGCTAATTTCACTTGTCTACAGTTGTAGACTTTCAATTACCATGACGTGAAAAGTAATGATTTAGATACATGCGTAACAATGTTAAGTATAGTGGTAAAATGTCTTTGAAAGTCTTTATTTTAAATTTTAAGTGTCTTTTATGCAGCAAAATGGACTGCAAGCAGCATAACCTTAACTCTACAACTCATGCAGGCAAAATGAGATAAATATCCTGGTTAATATAATTAATAGCCACTTAAGTACCTTATTCACAGGAAACTACCAAGCTCATCTGAACAAGACGTCAATAACACTGCAATATTTGAGAATACCGCAACACAGAAGGAAACTTTATGAACAGGAGAGTACTAACATAATAGTAGTTCAACAATGAAATCAGTATGTTAGATCTGTCTAGTTAAAAGACTATAGCAGAAGATATGCAAGATAACCACATAACAGATGGTAGCACAATATGATTACGCCTAAAAATATGACTTCGCATGGGATTATGATTTGCATATGGCCTCTTTCTGTGCTTACATGTTTTGTTCCAAAAATCATTTGGACTTAACTGATTATCCAGATCCTCAAAACAAAAAAGATGAACACATTGCCGAACTTAGTGATAAAAAGATTTTTTGGATATTTGGCTTAGATTTAATCAAGTACTCCACATATTTGATGAAATGAAATGTAGTAGTTACACGAATTATTTAATAACTTCAGTGACCAAAATTAACCATCATTCTAACACTAACCAAGGAGTCTTTCTTATGAAAGACTCAGAAAGAGCCACCAAATAATTTGTCTTCTAAAAGAACCTAAAACCACTCTATTCATATTACTGAACATAATCTTATACAAATGAATCTAGATTTACTTAAAAAAGATAGAAAATTGCTACGGATATATTTAGTGTGAAGAGGTTTGGACAGATGAATACAACTCTCTATTATTCAACAGTAGAGTAAATCCATAAAGACGAGACATTTATACTTCCAGCATGATCCTGCGAATTACATTTCGCTTAGCTTTGAGTGTTTTGCATGTTTATGATACTGATAACACTTAAAATATGAACGTGGAAACAATGATATGCTGAAAGGTACAAACACAATTAAAAGAAATACCACTAGGCAACATACGCATCAGAAGAATAGCAACCATTACATCAATTAAAAATTAGAACAAAACAACATGCAAAAGAAACATTTTTCAAAGTGTATATTTTACAAGGAAATCAACATGGGATGAGTCTTCAAATTAACGAAACATCAAAGAAATTATCGTTGTATCAGTTGAAAACCTAATTTTGAGTCGAACATAAACTATTGATGCAGTCGAGCAATGACTTTCTTTTGTGCACCACTAAACTTAGGATTAGTTTAGAATCCAAACCTTGGTGCCAACACATATCACCTTTTAGTATCATATCACATATAGTCTCAATGAAGACCATACAAAATATTCCACAATCATATCCGTTATTTTGCTTTACGACATCAATCTTTTCCACATTCACAAGTGAAATACCGAGATAGGTGGATAGCTTTTTAGATAACATAACTGCTTGCAAATAATTAGGAGTGCACTCCAAAGAGTCCAGGTAGAAAGCATTTTTTATAAGAGGAGAAAATATGAGTAATGACCAATGAGATCCACCGGATGAAACACGCGAAACAGCATCGTTAATAACTAAAAATATCCAGTCCTTCTTATTGCAGTCCAATGGATCTAACACAATTCCTACATGTTCTTCGTCCATCAATTTCAATAGATGAGATGCAGCTGGATCCACTAAGAGGATACTTTGTGACTGAGATAATTTTGTGTGGCGAAGATACTCCAGTTGAAATGTTATTATATTATCATTGATAAAATTTCCTTCTCTTAATGTATCCAAATCATCGTGGTACAAGAGAGACTCGTGGTAGTTAAGAATAATACCAGGAGACATACGACGCAATTCAACAACTAATTACACCAATTTAAACAATAGCAACGCACCAACTGTTGATAATTTCTATTTAGCTTGTGGATGTGTTATTAAAGAATAATTGGTAGATTTTGTGTAGGACTGACGGTGGAGTCCGACCCAGCAAGCAGAAAAATCTGTAGAGACCGATGAAAGGAAAACTTTAGCTATGTATCAGCTCCAAGGTATGAAAAATATGAAATCTAAAATAGTACAAAAGTGAGTAGGTTTTTAGGAGTGCCATGAACCCCTCTACATTCCTGCAGTTGACTGTCTTCTTGTAGCGGCTAGGTGTGATGTGGGAATTTGGATGGTGTTACAATAAAAAGGATAGCTGTAGCACGTCTAACACAAAAAGGGCCAATATCACCTCCGAGACTAGTTTATGCGCTGTCAAGAAAACCTGAAAGAAAGCAAATGAAAAAAAGTAGCCCAGAAACCTATCTACAAACTACGGTGGACAACAATAAGACTCAGGAAGGAGCATGCATTGGTAATCAACTGTAAGTAGTCGGTGACTATTTAGATTCCAATCGGACAGAGTTCAATACTTAAAATAGCTTCATTAGGATCAAGTTACGAGTGACCTGAACTACATATTACCGAGAGACATAAAAGCCCATTAGTCTTGGGGGAAAGTAAGTGTATTTATTGACACGAGGGGAATTCTGGGAAACCATGTGTAATTTCGTAAACAGATGTCTCTTTAATGTTGAATCGGAGTTGAAGTTCAGAATTATTAATTCGAAAATGTCAGTACATGATAAACTAAGTTGGGCAGTACGGAAACGATGCTAACAATTGCTAAGATGCGGCTTGAAGTGCAGAAAAATATCGGCAAAGTTAAATTATCATAGCCAAACTCGAGGTCTTTCGAAAGTTAACCTTTAAGAAGCGAGCAGATACCCGGAATGCTATGAAAGATCATTCCAAGTCAAATCATGCCTGAATTTATGGACTTGGAGAGGGTAGACACAGTATTCTGTTTATTTGCTAGGCACTTTTTCTGCAAATCTACACTCTTAGGTAGGGTTGACTTTTAAGATTAAGGTCTAGGGTTAAGGTTAGGTTTATGGTTAAAGTTAGGAACATGGATAGAGTTAGTAGGTTAGAGAATAGTGCCAGAAATATCAATGGATCTAGAAGTATTATTATCTACGGTCACATGTCACTATTTCTCTATAGATCATCTGTGTAGTGACTGGAAGACATTCTTACAACACATTACACATGCAGTGTAATATCACGTCCGTAGTATTTTAGGGTATTTTTCAACGATTATGCGACTTTTCGGTAACTGGATTCTGAATGGTTGTTCAAGATTGATGTGGTTCTGACTATGATAGTTGAACTTTGCCCAGAACGTGATAACTAGGCACTGTCAGAGCTAGTGGCGCAGTCTGAGTATGATCCTTTTAGGGAAATAGCGCTTAAGTGCAGTAGGACTTTCTATCGCCAAGATTTAAATATGTAAAATGATGATAACATGTTGGCAAATAACTTACACCCTACTTATACAAATTCTACATACAACGCACCAAAGAAAACACGCGGGTGACCCAGACCTCTCAACAACCAGTTTCTCAATTGAATAAGATTATTACTGAAGATAATTGTTATTGAGTGACTGAAAGAGAACATCATGCACTTCCAACACTTTCCTTCGAATTTGAATGTGCTCCAGAGGTAGTTTCGAATTATGTTTTTAAAGTATTTAGTCGCTCACCGGTTACTAAAATGTAGCGCCTAAAGCGCAGTGATACCTAAAAAATGAAATGAATCAGCTGTGCGATAACTGAATATTTACTATATCGAAACAGAAAGCTTAGTTGACACTCG